AAGGATGTCCAGSAAGGAGACCTAGCTGAGGGCTATGGTGCCTCCAGGGAGCAGAAGCCTTCCTTTCCCCTCTCCGTGACATCAGCTGAGAAGAAACACACTTCCCTCTATCTCTGTGCCAGTAGTTTAGCACAGTGGGGCACAGCCACCTCCTCTCTGTACASATAAGTTCCCAAGCCCTGCTTTCCCCCACCAGGTGGCTCTTCTGTCCCCAGTCCCTGCCCTGCCCTCTTCCACCACAGCCAGGCACCCAAAGCAAAGCAGCTGCTGCCACCAGGGACCTCTGTGGGAGGGCAGGAACTTCACTCAGCCACCAAGTGGTGAGTCCCACCCCTAGATATTCTGGAGTCCCTGTATCATACGTGTGCTTTAATCAAGGGCGATGGTGGCGCCTAGGAAATGACTGGCCAGTTCTGCCCCAAGACATCAGGAAGAGCTTCAGAGAGCAGGAGATTCTGAGGTGAAACTTGAAKGATGGGAAGGATTTCACCTTTTGTACAAGTATGAAGAGAGTGGCACAGGCTTCRGGAATGATGAAAGGGACAAGTGGTGACAGGATGTCAGGAAGGAAGATCTACACCCCTCCATCTGGCAGTGGGAGGAAATTTGGAACAATGAATGGACTGAACTGATTGAACAAGATGGAGTTTCTGGTTCTTTCTGGGGTATCTGAGTTACATGCCCAGGAGGTGCTCCTGTACATCTAAGCATGGAAATTGTAAGAGAGCCTCCAAAAATCAGGCAAGTCAGAAAGCCAGTTTGTTAACTGTGYAAAAGCTCAAGAAATAGGAGAGAATGTGTAGGATGCAGAAAAGGGTATCTGCTATGTGCRGAGAAGGTGCTGTCACAGTATTCTTATTAATGATGTCCCCAAACTGAAAAATACTGAACTCCATGTCATCGAGGCAGTGGTAGATGGACTGCATTACATTTATGTCACAGAAGGAAATATTGCAAAAAAGAATCAACTATGACTTAAAACAACATGGGACAATATCAACAATATAATGTTGACTAGAAGAAGCTGGAYACAGATGAATACACTCTGAAGTCGGAACAGACGGGTTCTGTAGGTTGCAAAGGCCCAGCAGGGCAGGTCTCACTTGGGGCCTTACATGTACCTGCAGTCAGATAGTCACTGAGGCTGGGTCACCTGAAGGCTGGACCAGCTTCTCCASGCACCTTCTGGCACCTCCGCTGGAGGCTGGAGGCCAAGGCAGGTAAGCCCCCTCCACTCAGCCCTTCAAAGTGACCAGGTGGGTTTCTGTACAGCATGATGGCCTCTGGGTGGTCAGGATTCCTACATGGTAGCCGGCTTCCCTGAGAGCCAGCCTTCACGTAATGCAGCGGGATTTACGCAGCTGTTTATGGTCCAGCCTGGAAAACGTGCAATGGGTTTCCACCACATTCTCGCCCTCTCGGGTTCCGGAGGGCTCTCTGGGATGGGAGCCCTGGAAGCTGTTTGATCTGGTGGCGTCTCTGAAGGTCAGATGCCATACTATGGTCATCTGGATCTTTGGTCATTACCTGGTAAGCTACTCTCTTAAAAAAAAAAAAAAAAAAAAAAGTAGTATTTGGGCTGGGGATGCTCAAGCGGTAGCGCGATCGCCTGGCATGTGCGGGGTGCTGGGTTCCATCCTCAGCACCACATAAAAAAAATAAAATAAAGATGTTGAGTCCACTGAAAACTAAAAAATAAATATTAAAAAATTCTCTCTCTCTCTCCCTCTCTAAAAAAAATAGTATTTATCCAGGATTTATTTTTCTATGTTTCCATATTTAGCCCCCTTTTGTCTTTTTTTAATAAAACTGATTTTTAAGTGATGCGTAAACTCATAAAAGTGAGTGTCCCACGTGCTGTTAGAACACCAGCTTGTATAATGTTTAAGTCAGGCTAAACATAGCTGTCTCCTCAAATAGTATCATTTCTTTATGGTAAAAATATTCAAAATCCTTCTCCCTTTTTTTGAAATATACAGCACAATATTATTATTTATAGACACTCTACTATGCAATAGAACAACAGAACTACTTATGCCCATTGAACTTGAACTCAGAACCCACTGATCAACCTTTATCCATGCTTCCCTGCACCCGGCTTTCCCCAGCCTCTGGTAATCACCATTCCACTCTTAACTTCTATGAAGTGAACTCTTTAATATGCCACAWGAGTGAGACCCTGGAGTACTTGTCTTCCTGTGCCTGGCTTATCTCATTTAACAAAATCATCTCCAGTTCCATCCCTGCTGTCACACTAACAGGATTTCATTTTTTTAGGCTGAATAATATTCCACTGTGAATATGTACCACAATGTTTATCAGTTGATGGACACTCAGGTGATTTCCACTACTTGGCTATTTTGAACAGTGGTGCCATGAACATGGAAGTGAGTAAGAAGGACCACCAATTCCATTCCCTTTGGATATATATCCAGGTTGGGATTGCTGGATCATATGGTATTTCTATCTTCAATTTTTTGAAGAATTCAGGTGATGCTTTCCATAGTGAATGTCCTAATTTACATTCCCACCAACAGTGTGCAAGTGTSGCCTTTCCCCCACAATCTTGCCAGCATGTTTTATCTATAGTCTGTTTGWCCATAGCTCTTTTTACTAATTTGAGGAGATATTTCCTCCTGGTTTTAATTTGCATTTCCCTGATGATTAATTTCCTTATTCTGTAGGTGGGTGTTTTACAAGGATTGTATAATGCATTTGGAGTATCATGAATTATATAGCTAGAATGCCCAGCCGATTATTTTATTGTATTACTGTATAGTTTCCTTTAGTATGTAATTAATAAGATCTGAATTTGTCTTCTATTTAGTTTTACACTCTAATTTTGCCAGGATTGTATTTTCCCATCATTTATGGAAGACATTTGGATATTTTATTTCATTATTTTTTATTCCAGCAATATATAACCTATTTCCATTTATTTGAGGGATAACCATAAAATTTCACAAGCCCTGGGTCTGGCCTTACCTTTACACTTCTCTAGAGCACACATGAACTTTCGAGCAATTCACATCTTTGTTTCCTTTCTGGTTTCCAATATTGTGGGTAGTCAGAATGTGAGCTCTAACGGTAGTAACTGGAGATATTATTGTTTTGGCAATACTTACCTAGTCACTTTCCTGTGTGTTTATCATTAGACAATGGTACACTTGCCATCTTCCTCAARCAATGCATGGTACCATGTACCAGCTCAGAGAAGGAAGGCTGTACACTAAGCTTTACTTCCGCCCTGTGGAGCACGGTTCTTGGCTGCATGGCCTTTGCTTCTAGCAGCAGATATGCCCTGGGCAATGAGTAGAACTCTGTTAGAGGCTATGAGAGCCCAGTTCCAGGGCTGTTCTTGGGATACAGCCCTGTGATCCCAGAACTCTTAATTCTGTCTGCTTACCCAGCGGTTCTCGTGGACACTAAAGTCCCCTAGACATCAAGAAAACTCAAAACATGGATAAAAAGAAGAGGAAAACACAAAAGGAAGTGACATTGARATATTCTTAAAATAAGCACGAGGAACGGACTGGCTATTAACAACATGTTTGATTTGGGCCGTAGCTAATCCTTACCATGTATGGCAGTGTCAAAGATGACACAAAAATTAACCAATATGAGCATGAGGGAATAAAAATTTTAGGTTAGGAATCCGAACGGACACAACAGAAGGAGAACCAGATAAGGAAAGGTAAAAAACACTAGTTGGAAAACAAATTCTCACTATGTCTGGTGATGAGGATGAACAAGAGCTTGGGGTAAGCTAGGTACACCGCRGCCCCTGATAGACCATGAATGAGACCAGTGCTGGAATCCATGGAAGGAGGCTGGCTCTTAGTGTCCACTGTCCTATGAGTTCTCAGGGAGGGCTGGTGGGGCTGGGGATCCCATTGGTCAGGCAGGCTGGTGGTCAGCATGGAAAGCAGGACGTGAAGTAGAGAAAGGTCAGCACACACTGGAACCACTGACACCCTTTATGCTCTTCTTTTGTACAGTGCTGGGAATCGAACCCAGGGCCTCATGTGTACCTTCCCAGCACCTCTGATAAGTGTCCTAACACCTGCCCAGCACCTCTGAACCTCTTTTTCACAGCTTCACAGCAATGATGATTTTAGAGTGATGGCAGGCATCTTATTTTCCCTGGATACATTTAGGCATCGCTTCTCCCAGAACCATACATACCACAAACGAAATTCTCAGAAATATAATCCTGCTTAGCTAGGTGGACAATGTGTCAAACACCACAGTGAGTGCTTCTCAAAAACAACAGGAAGATTTTGCTCTGATCTGGGGGGGGGGGGGTTCCTAGCCTCTTCTTCCCAGAAAAAGCACAAAACTGGGCCCCAGACCATCCATAGTAAGTACTCCTAGGAAATCATTGCCGAGGTAGTTACATTTTGAAGAGGCTCCATTCCAAGAGGCCCAGCCAACCAGGAGAGGCAAATGCAGTCACAAGACCATGCAGATGCCCTTAAGAGCATGCAATAACACTGATGCAATGCAACACTTAAATTTTTTGATAAAAAAATTTCACTATGTCACAATATGACAGTACAATGTTACGGAAATGAAAGTGTGGTGCTTTGGGGAAAAAACCTTTCAGCTCCACTTTTGCTGTTGTTTTTGTTGGTTTGTTTCTTTCCTTCTAATTTTTTTATAATTGCTAGACTTTTTCAAAACTGGTCCATTAAAACACCTAGCTCAGCAAGTTCAGCCATGAGTTGCCCTGGTGCTATTACTTTCAATATAAGACATAGAAGCTAAATATTGAGGCAAATGCACTTACTGCCCAAATGTATGTCCCTTGGGCTCCTAAGAAACTCGATTAAATCATTACAGAGTTCTAGGTCTCAGAGCAGCTTYTATACATTTGAGAAGGCTGCATCTTGTATCACTATGAAAGTCCACCACCAGGGGGCAGATGAGAGCACCCCAGGACCCTGWGTTCRGGCGCCCATCCTCCAGGGCTGGGAAGAGGAAGAAGGGGCACATGGTCAGACCTCCCCAGAGAAGGTGGTGTGAGGCCAACGCTGAAGATGCTGCTGCTCCTGCTGCTTCTGGGGCCCAGTATGAGCCTTCTCCTGCCTGGGAGAGTGGGCGTGTGTGTGCGTGTGCTGGTGTGAGTGGAGTGTGCCAGGCATTGTGGAGTGTGTGTGCTTCTAGAAGTGAGAGGGCGCCTCCAGGCTGGCTGAAGTGTACAGGGTGAGGCACCAGTGAGGGGAGGCGGGGGATTAGGACCCAGGGAGTCTGAGAGGATGCTTGGGGACAGACAGGGATTCTCTAGGGGCTGGGGGAAAGGTGATGGCAGAGGCTGAGTGTCCTGGGTCCTGTGTGACTCTGGTCCTGCTGGCCTCTCTGTCCCTGTGTTTCTGTAGGCTCTGGGCTTGGTGCTCATGTCTCTCAACATCCAAGCAGGGCCATCTGTGAGAGTGGGACCTCTGTGAAGATCGAGTGTCGCTTTGTGGACTTCCAGGCCATGACTGTGTTTTGGTACCGTCAGTTCCCCAAACAGAGCTTCCAGCTGATGGCACTCTCTAATGTGGGATCTGAGGGCACCTATGAACAAGGTTTTGACAAGGAAAAGTTTCCCATCAGTCACCCCAATGCCTCCTTTGCATCTCTGAAGGTGACCAGCGCACATTCTACAGACAGCAGCTTCTACTTCTGTGCTGGTGACACAGTGCTGGGTGGAAGTCAGAGACCTAGGCAAGAAGGGTTGCAGCAGCCTGGCCCTCCCCCACAGCCCCAGGCCCTGTGGGAGGAGCCTGGGGGAGGGAAACCACAGCTTCTCTGAGACCACTGGGAGTTTGTGTGTGTGTGTGTGTGTGTGTGTGTGTGTGTGTGTAGACAGAGAATCTGTGTGGATGGTTGTGGGGGAGATTTTGTCTAGACCTAGAAAAATGGGAATAAAATTTGGCCAATAAAGTGACCAACTCATACAGAAAACTCTCCTATATTTGAAGAGCTGGATCGTTGCCTAACTCTAACATACGTTCTTGATAAATGTACCTGCGATCCCACAGCTAGAGCTGTAGACATTCTACACATTGCAGTACATTTCCACGATGTTTCCTTTGGTAGCTGGCTCTCTAGGACTGTTCAGCATGATCTTGTCACCATGCTGGACCCTCAAGACCAAGGGAAATCATGAGGCAACCAGGCAGAGAGAGTTACTCATAGAGGGATCCACTGCTGGGGTAAAACCCGTCTGCAGGTACAGAGTGTATCTGAAACATACCYAGAGAAGGTTTTGCTGAGCTGTTCTTGGGATTGGGGTCGATAGTGAGAGAAGGCAGAGGAACCCTGTAATGAAGACTGAAGATTTCACGGCTGACAGATCTACAAAGTTCTGTCAGAAGGTAGAAGATGACCAGTTGCGCAGTGAAGGCAGGGCCTTGGAGAAATCATTTTCTAAGAGCAAACCAATATGACATTGACCAACAAATCCGCAGGATCTGATTTTAAAGAGCAAACTACATTGGTATCCATTTATTAGGTCAAGAAATTTTGTCCAGTAAACATGTGAAGAGATGGGACAAGGGGACCACACACATCTGTCTCGCATATGATTGTGTGGGGAGGGGAAATGTTTCAAAGGCCCACAGTTTAGTAWAAGGTAAATAACCATGCATTGACAAGCAATGCCTGCATGTTTAAATCACAGGTTAAGATTGATCAAGTCCTATGCATAAAAAGAGGGGAAAAAATCAAATATATGAAAGGTTTACATGGGACTTGAGGGCTTGTAAGTGGAGGCTGAAAAAACATTGACTTGTGAGAAATGGGGAGAAGAATCAAAAGTGGTTCAGCCACCATCTAGTGGCTTGTCCGTTTGGGATGCTGACCATCATGTGATGATGATGATAAATAGCCATGTTTTCCATCGTCCACACCTGCCATTTTYCCAAAGCAAATCTTTAGCATGTAGCAGCTCAGAGCAGAAAGAGACACACCATGCTTCACCTCTGCCCTGTGRGACAGGACTCTTGGCTGCATGGCCTTTGCTTCCTGGCAGCTGATGTGTCCTGTGCAAAGATGTGGAACCATGTTAGGGTCTCTCAGACCCCAGTACCAGGGTTCTTCTTGTGCCACCCACCTTCCCTGTGATCCCAGAGCTCTGACTCTTACTCAGGGGTTCTCGTGGACACTGAAGTTACCAAGACATCAGGAAAACTCATCACGTGGATAAAAAGAAGAAAAAAAAAACACAAAAGGAAGTGACATTGAAATACTCTACAAAGAAGGACGGATAACAAACTGGCTGCTGAAAACAGGCTCGGCCTGGACTGTGGCTAATCCGTACTATGTACCGCAGCGTCAATAAAGAAACAAAAATGAACCAAAATGAGTGAGAAGGAGTCATGATAGGCATCAGACCTGACACAACCTGGGGAGAAAGCAGATTAGGAAAGGTCCAAAACTAGTTAGAAAAAAAAAAAAA